CCCTCCCAGCTGCTTGTGCACGCCCAGCCTCACTGGTGGGGGTGATGAGAGACAAAAGGTCCTGGATTTGTATAACTCAGCAGTAGTGTAGCCCATGCTCTTCGTGCAGCTCAGTAACCAAAACGTTCCTGTGTTTTCAACAGTGTTTCCAGCACATTGCTAACTGTTAACTGCTGTGAAGAAAATTTACTCTACCCCACCTAAACTTACCCTACTCATATCCCAATTTGAGTGTCCTTACTTGCACAGTCAAATTTCCCAAGGAAGTTGATGGGTTTTATACATGTATAAAACAAGAATGATAAATGTAACTACAGGTGCATACATATTAAAGTATGGTGTCCTCCACTGCAGAACTATTTACTGTAACAAGAGGAACATGGAGTTTTAGAGATACTATACAAAGAGGTTTTGGGTGTATGCTCACACTGAACATGAACTGGTATTGTTCTTACAAGTTTCTTAATGAGAAGTCTGTGTCTCCTATAACTAAGGTGAGTCTTTATTATAAAAACAGATAAGCTAAGACAGGAAGGAGCTTGAGAAAGGCATACATGTCTTTCAGTAGGTAGCTATGACAGAAATGACTCACTAATTAAAATAGGTTGAGTGCTTCAGGGATGTTACAGTTCAGCCCAGACCTTAAGAGATCAGATAGTCTTATGAGATGCCTATCATATTGCTCAATATGCCATTACAGACCTCAGACACATTAAGCAAACATGCTACTGATTAAAGCCAATGGCAGTCAGAAGCCACATTTTCATAGAGAAGGCAAGAACTGTTGAGTGTGATGTCTGACAGAAGTTACATGGATTTGTACCAGTTGAGATTCTGCTTGTAATCAGCATGATGTTGGTGATTGACAATGGCATCTTACATAGCTGACAGCTGCACAGTTTGCTCAGCCACTCTGGGTTAAAAGACATCACTGTTAATGTTCGCATCACAGGCATGCCCAGAGACCTATTCTAATGTCAGGAGTCCATTTTGCTGCCCTGTTGAAGAGTTTATTTTTTCCATAGACCTAAGAGGGATGTGAGAAAAGAAAATTTTGTCTGAAATTGAATCACAAAGTGGAAGCTGAGAGAGTTTAAAATCTTTCTACATCTGATTACAGGAGATCAGATTCTTTCTCATGAAAAAAATAAAGAACTATTGGAGTAACTTAAACTTAGGCTCAGGTCTTTATTTCAGAGTGCCATGTAGCAAATGTAGCAAAAGAAGGATGAAAAAAAAAAATGTAGGAAACTAATGACCAAGAGAGACACAAGACAGAACAGCCATTGTTCAGTTTGGAGGAAAGAATTTTTGTTTCCTTACCTAGGATTATTTTTGCATTTAACATACATTGTCCTTGCCTATGATATTATTTATGAACTAAAATTAACCAGTAGGAGTCCTGAAAATGAAATCCAGGATTACTTGTCCTGCTTGGGTCCTCTAATCACAAGGCTCTAATAAAATTCTCTTTCAGTTCTGGATTCCTTTCCATGTATCAACACAAATTCTATTGGGGAGGAAGAGTCCCTCCTTTACCTGTAAGGATCACTATAACTATGCAGCTAAATTTTTTTGGAGCTAAGTTCACGTCTTCTTAAGGGGACTTTCATTCTTTTTCTGTATATGGAGAGAGTCGCGTAGTATTTCAGAGTAACACTGGAAGGACGTATCCTTTCAATTACTGACATTATTCATTTTACTCAGAGCAGTGCACTGTAGTTTGAATGTATGTATGTAACCTATAGTAGATCTCATACTAATTCCAGGTGGTGCAGAGTAAATGTCTTAAAAAATTACTATTGCTTGGAATTTCAGATGCTGAATATCAACCATCTGGAAATGTATATGTATTTGTATAAGTATGTAGCTCTCCTTACAGAAGAACAGATGATTAAAAGAATGTTACTAATTCAAATATGTTTGACTTCTTATTTAATCTTATTCTTAAGCTCACTTTATATTCTGCACACGACCGACAGTAATTCCAGCCCAATAACAATTACAGACATCTTCGTCTGCTCTGCTCTGAGCATGTTTGTGGTAAAGCTTGCACTGCTTCCCTGTTCAACAGCCTCTCCTAAAAGTGTGAGCAGGCTCTGCCCCTTCCCTGCTGCAACCAGCACCATTTCCTTGCACGTGGAGATGGATACAGAGCTAATTTCCATCTTGGCCCAAAGCTCTACCCATGGCCTGATGGAACTAGATGATCTTTAGGGTCTTTCTGACCCAAGTCATTCTATTATTCTGTTATTTTGTATTTGTCTGTGATGGTTCTCCCCAGGAAATGTGGACAATGCTGGTGAATGAACTCCATCCAAAACATTTTGAGGTTTGAAATACTTTGTTCTAATGGTGGCTTGACACATGCTAAAGGATTTTTTTAAAAATAATTTTTGAGGAACCATGGAGTGTGTGTGTGATTGAGGTATTTCAGCTTTGTTGCAGACATAAAGGCTGTTTTCCTTTAAGCTGTGAAATTGCATGATGTTGTTTGCCATTGCAAATAACTTCTCAAAGCTTTATAAACTAAATTGACTTTAAAATATTTTCCTCTTGTCTTAGTAATATAGTCATAGAAAACAGGGCTGGAATGTGGTCAATCAGGCCACCCTAATTCCTGAAGAAAAAGCTGACTGCACCTCAACTGTTCCTGAGAGATGTTTGGCACACCAGTTTATAACAATGTCACTGACTGAGTTCCCACAGCTGTTTAAGGTGCTAATGAGGAATTTCTAATTTTAGGTATCTTTATAGTTCAGACAATTGCATATCAAAAATGAAAAGTAATGGCTTAAAAAGAAGTGTTTTGAAAATGGGATAAGGACTCCTCTCAAAAATTGTAATTTCAATCTTGGAATAAAAAATATTACATCTGGTTTTGCCACTATCAAAATATTTTTTAGGCTGGAGATCACCCAGCCACAAGGCAAGCAACCTTGTTTTTTACTGGATAACAGCTTCAAAAAACTATGGGGCAAATGTGGTGCAAGCTGCAAGACAGAGCTAATGAAGCGTGTTCTGCCACATTGTTCTGAAAGTTTACTTTGCTTTTCTGTATTCTGAAGGACCACAAGTTTGTTTAGATGTTAGTCACTGATATACAGATGTGAGCATCTTCACTGAGCAGCCCCTCACCTCTCTGCTATTAGTGAAGAAAGTTGATTGCATTAGTAAGCCTCTATTAAAAGTGCAGTTAAATACATCATCTAAACAAATATATGTCTGTATTTCCTGAATTATACTTCCCATAAAAGATGAAACCTTTTTAAATAGAAATTGAAAGAAAATTCTATACTAATATGTAGGATAAAGGAGAAGAAGTCATATTTTTCTACATTCTTATATCCTGAGCAGTGGTGAATCATCTACACATGGCATTAGGGTAAATGCAGATGAGAAGAGAAAGAAAAATTTTCCAAGGAACTGAGTAGTAGTAGTGGAAATAATCAAACCTATTTCTTGCTTTAAGCCTTCCCTGAAATTTTTCCTAGCATCTTTACCACAATAAAAGTTTGGCATGTCATAGGATTTCAGGTTTTCTGAAAAACATTTTCAGATGTGTGTACAAGCAAACACATAACCTCCACTGAAGCTGTAATCACCTATGAAAAAAAATGCAAATCAAACACCCTGAACAAGTCCTTGTCCTCTTGGGTCTCTTCCATTCTTTGGTTTGGTGGTTTTTTCTTCTTTCTCCTGCATTTTCTGTATAAGTCATAACTGTCATTTAAAGCATATGAAAAGCAGAGGAAGTCAATTGTGTTTCTGGCAGAAGATTACAGACCAATATTAGAGAAAAAACCCCACTGAATTAATTTAGTTTGTATTAGATAGGAGAGGGAAGAGAGAGGTGTACATGGTACCCTTAACCTTTCTATAAATACTTTCTGTTCAGATCAGTAGGGATTGAAGATACACACCATTACCAGTTTGGATGTGCTATTACTTTTTTCATAAAGAGCCTATCTCTATAAAAAGGGCAGACATAATTATGAGAGAGTGTGTTGTTGGGGTTGAACCTCCTAAAACCCAGAGAGGAAGAGAAGATATGGACCTTTGTGAATTCTCTTTTTTGTTTCTGTGTTCAGTTTTCTCTTTCATGCTAGGCAATGAGCTGCTGGTGAAGCCACAGAGCAGAAAATCAGACACAGTAACTAGCAGCCAAGCCAGCTGCTAACTCAAGTGAAAATGCAAGCCAGCTAGCAAGAGCTGAACATTGCAGCAAGAGAGGTAAGTGCCCAGCAACTCCATGAGAATACCAATGGGAAACATTTGTTCTTGATTACTAGGCAGATGTTAAGGGATTAATGTGAAAGGGAACATTTAATTAGGAAAAATGCTTTGCAGAACAAGTTAGGACATATGAATGGATGAAGAAGGAGAAAACAATTCACCTTTAAGGTGTTAGTTTTATGTACTGCATGTCTATAATGTTTTAAGTGTGTAACTGTGTAAGAGTCTGAAAGAACAGAGAAATTAAAAATCAGGTTAAGGAAACAAATGCCACTTGAACCTCATTACCAAGGTAAAATAAGGTCTAACCTGAGAAAATCCTTATGTATTTTCTTTGGCATTGAAAAATATATGAGAAAGAAATAATGGAAATTACTCATGTATTTGTAGAATGTAAAATAATTTTTAATTACAAAAAACTCCCTTGGAGAAGCTATACCTTTACTGCTGCCTAGTCCAGCAGATTATTAACACATACCCATAAAAGTCAGCTTTGCTTCTCATGCCCAAAGTGATAGCTCTCAGTGTCACTGACACTGGCCACTCCACAAGAGCAGGCAGTGTCAGTTGTTTCATTCACAGTAGGCTCCATGTACTTGGATTTTGTCACCTGGGCAACAGCGAACATATTTCTGTTTCCAAGGGCACTTCAGAAAGCACTGTCTGCTGCTGTTATAAAGGACTTCCCACTGGACTTTCCCCTCCTTCTGTGTTTCACCAACACATGCTGGTTCCTCTAACACATATTTTGTATTTTCAGCATTATTTTACTCCTCTTGAAACATTTTTGGAGGTGTAAATCAGTGAATTCTATTCTACCCCACTTTAAAGCTGAAAAAAGGAACTACAGAGGTAGGTCTGATGCCTTTTGAAAATTTTGGTGGTAAGTTCATAATACCTCATAATACCTCATAATACCTCATAATACCTCATAAGCTGAGGTATTGTCTGTTATGAAAAGTCCTAGAAAAACTGTTAGAAAGGAAAACAGTATGTTCCAATGGAAAGATGATTCTATAAAAATATTGTACAGTTAAAACTGTCCAGTTCCAATAATAGCTTCTGATGGTGCTATCTCAAAACAGATTACCCAGTATACAGGACTGCTGTAACTCCTGCTATTTAGCATCATGTTCTGATAAATCCATAAAACCATGCTGAAGTTGTTTTTTAAATAAATAACAAAGTTGTTATTTAAACAAATAATCTGAATTTATAGACTAATATAGAAAATTGCAGAAAGATTCTCATTCTCTATTACAATTAAGATAATGTTTCCATAAGTGTTTTTTATCCAGGTGATGCAGAGTTTGAGGGTGAACTTTTTGTCTTAGCAACCTACTGCAAGGTATATTCAGTGTCTCCTCACCAGACACTGAATTAAGGCTTGCAGGATTCAGCAGCTCATGCCTCCCTGCCCTCTTTGTGGCTGCTGCATGCAGCTAATTCCTCCTGGGAAAAGAAGCAGGCTATCAGTTTGTTTACCATCCAGTAAAGATATCTGGCAGTTTCCTTGCACAAAATGAGCTGCTCTCTTGTCAGGAAGGTGTTTGATCCTCTCACAAGCTCTGCCATCTGTTGAATAAATATAGGCATGTGAAAGTTCAAAGTGTTATTGTGCGTAATAGCAGGCAGTGGAGCAGTGCATAGGATTGACTGGTGGAATTAAGACATATACAGTCCCCAATTACGCCACAGTTACAGTGCTGTTAGGAACAAGACAAACTCTTTCAAAAAGTCACCCCCTCAAATTTCTTTACAGTATAAAATAATAATCAATATTCTCTGCTGGTTATCACATGCACTTTACACTTAACCACCAATTTTACGTCTGCCCACACCAAATTAATTCACAGCCCGTTGAATATACTTCAGGACTAGGTTGACCTACAAAAATTCCTTAAAAATGCAAAGTTAAATAGATTTTACAGTCTATAAATAGAATTACAATGACTAGGGGGAAACTTTTTAGTTTGTTTCTCAGTCCCAGACAGACGGTGAAATTTCGCACAAACTGTTAGTTACTGTTTCATGGGCTTGGTCTTCTCTCCATTTTGGTGTACAGAGAGAAAAATACATATTCTGCTCATAAGAAAAATTGTCTCTAACCTATATGTAAGTGATTAAAAATATTCAAGTAGACATTTTTAAGGTTGACATAAATATATTCAGTACTTTTTCCATTACTAAGTGGAGCAATATCATCAATGTTTAATATAGCTTATGAAAAAATTTTCAAAATTCTCCTGAGATTATGCTATCATATTATCAATGTTTGGTGTTCTAGGAAATACGTATACCTTTGAAATACTCATTCAGGAAGACATTTAAACATTTGCTTTCCATGCCCTGAGTTGAGGACATGCAGTAGATATCTCCCATACTGACCCACAAGCTGTCATCTTTAAGCCATGATGAATTTTTTCTTAAGGTATTAAGAGTAGTAGCAGACTAAGGTGAGATAAAAATTATTATTTATTATGCCTCTTGTAATTAATAATATGATTTACTAATATGACTGTCATTGTCTTTTTGTTTTGTGGCTTTGCAGGAATCCTCAGTTTTGGGACAGGGTTGTTGAGATGCAATGGCAGCAGGATCTCAGCCCTGGGAAAGATTACAATCTCATTATTAGTCAAGAGGAAGCAGGAAAGGGAAAGGTTGTAACAAATGAGGTACAAAAGTGAAACAGGAGATAATTATTAATTGAATTACTATTTTAAGGTGAGGTCACACATGACTACAAACAAAATTTCAATGTAGAAATCTGTATGAGTAACACTAAAACAGTCCAACTGATGAAATATTTTAACTAATGTAAGACTTTCCTCAAGAATTCTAGTCATATGTATTTATATAGTTTCTAAATTAGTTGCCTGTATGTTCTTTATTTTCAAGAGAGAGAGGTACCTCCAGAGGACATTTCTTTCAAGATTAAAAAATGTGCAAAATAGGAATCATGGATTGCTCTCAGCAGTTGCCAATCTTCTTCCAGTGAATTATGAAGAACACAGAGGACTTATCTAAATTTATCTAACTTTAGATAAGTTGCACACAGCTCATATTGGCTCAGCAGAATCCAACACTTAAACTGCAGCTTATTTTAGTGATCTGATGATTGAAATATCAGTGACTACTCTGTTCTCCAATTATCTCCTTGTCAGAGGAAATGAAGACCTGAGGTGTGCTTTAAGGAATAATGCTGTCATAGCTCACACCTATGATCTCACGATAAAATATACAAGTTGTGGCCTATGGAGCTTAATCTGTTATTTGCTAATGGATGTAGACAATAAGAACTATTAAAAGATTCAAGCAAGAAGAAAAAAAATACTGCAGTTTAAATCCAGAACAAGTTTTTGCTTTAGCTCAATTCAAATTTATAAACTCTTTCCTCCAATGTATTCAACACAAATATTTCTGCAGGCACCAGAAATCCTTGGATGTCACCTGCATTCTGTCATACTCATGGAACTACTCATGAGAAGTTTGTGATCCCAATTTAAACACGTTTGCTAAATGACTTCAGCTAGTCACTTCCTACAGCACGTTTTCTATTTTCTCCCCTGCACAGAGGAAGTAGAGTCATCATTTCTGTAATATGCCTTAAGTTTTTAAGCTAAAAAGTGCTTTTTAATGCACCACTAATATAAGACAAAGACTAAACCCTAATATAAGTCTTTCCTCCTCTGGTGTTGCCAGAGTGTCAGGATGAGGCCCATATTTTTGATTCAGGCATAAAATATTGATAATGGTTGATTGTTAACATAATTTTGTCAGGCAGGTTTTTTTTCTCCTTCTCAGATTAAAAAGCTAGTGGACCTTAGAGAAAATTTTATTCCTCTGTGGACTGGGTCCAGTATTTTTCTCTTGGACAAATTTTATTTGTTTGCTGATGAGACACATATTTTAAAAAATTATTATGATGATATTCTTGCAGTATAGTCTTGCATGCTGTTAACACTTAATAAAGGTAACAGGAGCTGGGAAAAAATGGTTAGTATGAAATGAAATATTATAAAATATTAAGCTGTGTCATTTTCTGTAGCAATTTTTTTATCTGGTTCAAACAACTGTCAACATGGATGACCATCCTTGTGTTTTTATTTCCCAGATTGTTCAAAATGGCTTCTTGGCTTGTGACTATTATTTTGAATCTGCACTTCATTATGCCAAATATTTGCATACACAATTCACTTATAGTGACCCCAGGGAAATGCCCCGTGAACAATCACTGAGACTGAGTTTGAATGAATAATGAAATGCTAATGGAAAAATGTGGGCCCACCTGATAGCAACTGAACTGTGCTCACCATAAAATGGGCTGGATCAAAGGTCTTGTTAAAAATTCTTTCCTATACCATAATCAGAACATATTAAGATTTGAGTGTAATTTTACATAGTTAGTACAAGTAAGTTTCCTAAAACTGCATTCTTCAAATTTTATCATTTGATTCTTATTCATAGAGAATGAGGGTGGTGCACAAATCATTGGGTTTCCTTCTCCTTTTATCTATAGGAGACTAGCAGGGGAAGTGTAGTGCCACCCTTCCCTTTCCTTATTTCTTCAAGATTTGTGAGCTGATAATAATTCAAAATTACTTTATTAAAATTCTGTTTTCTTAGGAAAGATGGAATCTCAGCATTTCCCAAGTGAATTTCTGACTGAAATAGCAATGATAGTTACACATGGCCAATTTCATAATTGTCAGTGGTATACAACTCAGACTTTTGCATTGCTTTAGAAGAAATAAATAATATATCTACACACTCTTTTGCAACCAGCCTGTTGTTTCATACATTGGGTCTGCTCTTCTCCCACTCTAAGTTTGCCACGGTGTCGTACCTGGCTCCACACAGCTGCGTTATCTGAAATCTGTGGCTAAGTTGTGAATCCTGCTGTGGGGTTGTGTCCTACACCTGGGTGTGACAGCATGGCTGGTGCCTTCAACCCTCACAGGTGTCCCCTTGCAAGCACAGGAACAAGAAAATCTCTTCCCACCAACAGAAATTACTCTTCAGGAAGCATTACATGAAGGAGGTGTGTGTTATAGCTGCCCTTACCTCATTCCACTCCGTCCCTCACAGACAGGAGTGCCAATCCTCCCACTTTGGTGGGAATCCTGAGAAGGTGAATATTGAAATATTGTTGCTTGGTGTGGTAGGGAAAAGCCCTGGAACAGCGCAACATGTTATCAAAAACTTTTCAGGATGATTACAAAGAGGCAAGGAAAGGAAATACACCTTTTTCTGGAGGGAAATTAACTAATATATAAAACCATGAAGCACAAGGGAATTCACTGCCAACTACAGGCGTAAAACAAGGATTGGAATGGCACAGGTGAGCACCAGAAGGAGAGGAATTTGGAGGAAGAATTTAGTTTCACACATACCAGACACTTTTCTCAGCAGACCCTCTGAGGCCAGGCAGGAGAGGGACAGTGATGGCACAGGCAGCCCTACAACACCCATGGTCTGTCAAAGGGACCTGCCATGAAAGGAGTTAAAAGAATATCTGCTGCTTAACAGCCCTTCCTTGTCTTTGCCATATGTTACTCAGGTTGCATTTTCTTTAACTAAGTTGCAGCTCAGTGAGCATCTGAAAGCCCAGGAGCTCTTGAGGGAAAGCTCAACTCTGCCCTTTCTCCTCTCCTGACCCACCGGGATCTGCATTGCTGAGCCACTCTGCCCTGTGCAGAGACACCTCCAGCAGCCTCAGGAAAGGCATAGTTCAATGGTCAATTTACAGGAGGGAATAGATAAGAGGATCACTGAGCTCCACAATGGGTTTTCAGCCTCTAGAAGTGGTTTGGTCAATTCAAAACATTCAGAGAATCTCTTCAAACTTCTGTGCCTCAGTCATGCATGAGCCAGAGTTTGTAAATATATTGTCCTTTAGATTATTAGGTAAAAAGGTAGGCTTTTTCTGTGAACATTATTTAAAAAAGAAAATTATGTCAATATATTTTTTCCAACAATCAAGTGCAAACACTTCATTCCCAAACCACCAGATCATGAATGAAGAATATTTCTGATTCCTTATCATTCAATATTTCTTCTACAAAGGCTGTCAGAGATGTCTTATCATGTCATTTTGATATCTTTTCCAGAAAGTAGAAAAGGACAGTAGTCCAAACTTCTGAACAGTATCATATTCAGCATATAGCATGTACCATGAAGGTTCAGTCAGGGACTTCTTGCGGTGATTTCTAGAGCCATTTTACTTCACAAGAGTTAAACAGGCTGCAGCAGCAAAGCAGGTGATCCAATGATCTCTGGGAGGTATTTTTATTATTCATAAAACTCAGGGAATACAAGACCAAAACCAAGCTGCAGCTTTTCTTGACTATGTGTAATTCAGGCATTGCATAACAATAGTGCAATCTGTTTAAAAAAAAAAAAATTAATCCTCCACTAAAAGTGTGCATTTCTATTGTATGTGAGGCATTTGTCTAAATACCAGGGCTAGCACATTTCTGATTAAGGTAGTCCATTGCCTTTTTGTAGGAAGTGGTACCAAGACCAGAGTCATTCTTCCACGTGCTCTAGACTTTGTGTCTTCCCTCTTTATTACTTAATAGTATCAAACCCATCATTAACTGATGTAAGCATTCCCTTAACATAGGATTCCTTATGCTCTACCTTTTTCTGAACTTAGGTTTCACAAATTTACTCCTTACCTGTAAATGGTTCTTCTACTACCCCACAAATAGTTCTAAACTTTGAGGATTACATTAGTCATCATCTGAGTAATTTTGAGTTATTCCAGTGAATTTAGATTGTTAGGGCCTTGCCCAAATGTCTTCTGATTTGTCCATGTACTTCTGGCTGCTGTTGTGTTCAGCTGCATACACAACATTCTTGTCAGTAATTTTCAGCCCTCTATGGTTGTCTTTGAGTTATTTGCAGTTTGGCTAGCCATGCCTGCTAAGGTACCAAACAGCCACTCACTTGACTGTCCAGTAGGCAGTGGACTTTTGTTATTGTTTGTTTGGTTGAGTTTTTTGTATTTTGTTGGTTTTTTGGGTGTTATATTTTGCTTTTGTTTTTAAGTCAAAACTAGGCTGCTTTGCAGTTTCTTTGTGTGCTGGGGCAGTTGACAAAGGATGTGCTGTCTGTTAGTGGAAAGAATACTCCTTTGCAAGACTTAATATTCTCTTCATTTTACTCAGGCTGTTGTTGGAGACTCCAACTGCTGCAGGTCAAACAATAATTTCAGGCTCTCCTGGTTGTCTGCTTTCTCACTCTGTAAAATGTTTATATCTCATTACTTTTAATTTATGGATTTTCAGATCCTGCAGTGGGTGATTGAATCAGATTATATTAATTTTTCAATTAAAATTTTATGCAGGCATTTTTATTAACTCAAAGTGCATCTGGAAACTTTGGTAGTAAGTGAGATATGACTTTAATATCCTTGTATTAAGGAAGATACATGACAATATTATTTGATCTACCACAGCAGAACAGTGCAGAACATCAATTATGTAGAACTCTTAATATATTAACAATATAATATAACTTTGGTTCCTTCAATTTTGAGCTTCATTTTTCTCATCTGTGCATTGTGTAAGACAGGTGGTGTGAGATGTATTTTTAAGCAATGTCATGTAAGAGCAGCAGTAATTACTATCATATGCAACAGGGGTTGAGAATGACTGACAAATTAATGTCTTTTTCCTACTTCTCCAGCCACTTGAATTACCTGTGCCTTGTGTTCCAAAGCCAGGAAGTGAGAGAAGAATATGACCCTCCTCCCTCAAATAGTGAAAATAAATGTACTCAAAGAATAATTCTACCAGAGTGACAGGATTTTTGCTTCCAAACTAAATTAAACGCATGATCTGTTGCCTAAGGTCTGATTACAAAATGTAGTTCTCTGTTAACACCTATCCACATACAAACCATATTAAGTTTAACCTAGTTTTCTCTCTGGGACAAAGGACAAGTTATTCAAAGCATACTGTTGTGTAACAAATACATTATGTTCTCTAAAAGCCGCCAGTCTCCAATGCAAGCTAGGAAGAATGCTGTGCAATACTTTCTATAGAAGAGTAATAGCATCCTTGATCTTTCTTGTTTTAAAATATGTGAAAACCTCCAGAAATATAAAATGGGTACAGCATCATGCAAGAGGTATATAGACACAATTAATTTATATATATATATAATATATATATTTTATATATATATATATATATATATATAATATCTAAAAAAACTTTTGGGTTTTGCAAATATATATTTTCCTTACCACTAAAGCTAAGGAAAATATCTCTGCTGTTACTTAATTAAAAAAAAATTAGTGAAAAGAAAAATTTCCAGCCTTGTAACTGAAAGATCAGTTTGCAGGCATAAAATCCAGAGTAATGAAAAACAGAACCAGCAAATAGAAAAGAACATTAAATCTATTAGTTAAAAAATTCACCCTTTAAAATCACACTTCAAGAACACATCCTTACCTGTAGTGTCTTAAAAGCCTGGCTCACAGCACAGGATTTATAAACCTATGCCAGGGTATTTTAGACAGAAAAGAATAAACTCTCTTGCTTTTGTTGTAACTGAAGAACACAGGGAAAATTTTCAGTAAGCCACCTAGTAAAAGACAATAGTGTAGGAAAGTTGGTACAAGTCTACAACTAATTTGGTCTGGAACAGTGTTAAGATCTTCTATTTCCTGAAATCCTGCTGAAATTCTGCGTATGGAAAGAGTTATTCTGTGGATTCACAGCCCAAACCACTCAAGAACCAGAGCCAGGTATTGCCTGGATTCAGGCAACAAAACTGTCGAAAAGAGCTCTCATGGCTTCGTCCGTCATGGAGTTTAAATAATCCATTCCATGGTGTAAGAAAGTGCTGCTATATGCTTCCAATTCTATTTTAGTGGGTCAGAATCTATCTTTCAAGAAAATGACCAGGCAGTACTTTTTAACTTTGGAAAAATGTCACCAAAATTTCTGCGGTGGAAAATCTTCTCCATCCAAATTCCCACAGAATTCTTTTGGCAATAAAACACATGAAGAAAGTTCCACAGATGATGAAATACATACACCCACAATTTAAGATTATTATACAATTTAGAACTGCTAAAATGCTTACTTGCTGGTTCACTAAAATATCAAGAAGTGTGGATCATTTCTTGTAGAAATGGTTTAAGTCCAAGGAAAACTCAAAATGTAACTAATCATCAGATGAGGCCTTCATTTTTTCCTTTATGCCATGGTCTTTCCCTTTTTACTTGTTGCCATTTTTCTAAATCACATCAGTTTTCTCAGATACTACAATGTTTTTAATCATAAATATTCCAGTACTTATACCTTCTTTTCATAAATCAATGTACATCTCGACTTATGTAAGGATAGATCTCAGGGTCTTGGTTGAAATGTTGTGTATTTCCAGACTCATTCTGTCCCTTTACAAATGTTTTGATGTTTTTCTGGCTTTTAAATGATAAATATCACATTTCAACATTTAAAGAGAAAATCATGTAAAAATACCTGTGTACCCTTTATAAAGTAAGGACATCCACAGTTTGTTGTTGTTTTTTAAACAAATGGCTTAGGGAGATTATTTCCTGAGATCTAATTGGAATTTTTTGTTTTCCAGGTTTTGTTTTTGTTGCCTGTTATCAGATCACTGTGCACTGCAAAGATGAGTGGGATCTATGTTACAAGGATCTACATCCTCGCTTTAGGTATTTTGCAGACAGCAATAAATCTCCTCTTAGCCCCCTTACCCTTCCTCTCTGAAGACTGGACAGATCCATTTCTCCTCTCCTCCACAGATCTCTGTGTCCTCTCCATCTCTTGGGTCTTCAGGGTTCTTGCTGTGGAAATATCTGTGTGCTTCGTGTCACATTTCTTCCACAGAAACTGTTCAAACTCTGAGAACAGAAGTGTTCCCTGCACCTGTATTACAACTTTCCTATGAATTTCTTCATTTAGAAACCAGTTTTTCTGAAAGAAGTGACAGTGCTTGACTTCTACACTGGTGGAAGGATTTTCTGTTGGGGAATCCCTTCTCCATCATTTCCTTATTTGAACCTGGAATGTCTTTAGGACCAGATGTAAAAGTTTTGAAATTAAAAGGTAATAAGAAATTCAGTGAGACTCCTTCTTAGCCCAGGGAAGATAAAACTCTTCCTAAGCAGCTAGGAACAGAAAGTGCTTTTTGTGAAAATAATACATGGTATGGACTAATAACCCCACCTGTAACACCCACTGTAAATTCTATCCACTGCCAGGCTGACACTCCTGGGCTTCCAGCACCTTCTTTCCTTTGTGTCTACCTTAGATAAGTTTGTTGCCTATATTTTCATAAAGAATTTAACTAAATTTTTTTTATTTCCTTTTTTTTCCTTCCTGTCATCCACATACTGCTATTATTCTACTCATCAGGGGATCATAAAGCCATAGCCTTGCATCTTATTAACAATAGAACTAGTAATTGTTAATATAGAACACTGACAGGCATAATTACACAACAAATAACTTCACATTTTAATCCCTTAACACATAATTTATGTTACTCATTTACTAATCCCCATTTCACAACACAATTTACACATTCTTTTATTAGCGAGTTATTTGGGCATGAACACTTGGGTTATTCACTTAAACAGATACCTGGAATTTAATAAGCCTTACATATCTTTTTCAACATCCATAACAAGTCTGATTACAGAGTCTTTTGCTAGGATACCACTCTTGCCAGGCTCCATTTGGGGTGTGAAATTCAGTCCATTAATCAAGCACCCATAATAGCAGTACTGACAGTACCAGAGCAGAGAGCACAAACATCCTAATCACCCCCTGAATTATTTAAGAACAGGAATAGTTTAGCACAATGGGAGATCTCCAAAATTAATTTTTGCCTTTTGTTAAAGCTCTCTCATTTTTCACCACTTTTGAATAGTTGTCCCAAATAATGCAGCAAAATTTGTTCCAGATCTTGTACTGGAATGAGCAAGACAAGTAAGAACTCGAGGAATTCCAGGTTAAGCCCAAGGCAAAGATTACAGCAGAAACTTTGCTTTTCATTTACATTAAAGCTCCATATTAGCTGAATAAGATGGAGCAACCAAGGCAATAATCTACTTTACAGAGTTAATAATCAGAAAGAATCTAGATTACACTGCGGTGAGAAAAAATTTTCCACACCTGGTCCAACAGAGGATACTTTGTGGAGGGAAGATTTTGAAGACTAAAGAAAAAAAAATATTGTTTTTTTTAAAGTATGACATTAAGTATGTATAAAGTATGACATTCTTTATATTATGAGAAATTAAAGATATAATGAAGCATGTATTGCAGGGCACTGTGGTTTGTAGCTAGAATCTGAAATTTCCTAATAACTTCTAGCACAGACTGAGTTCACTTGTTATTTCATAAAAATGTAATGACTAGGGAAGATTGGGTGATTTTTTTTGCATCTTGCTGTCCTGACAGCTAAAAATTTTAGTCTCTAGTCTGCAGCTCAGTGCAACAAAGTAATTTGTTCTTTTCCATGCACAGAGATCCTACACACACTCAGATCTGTACATACTTGCTTCCATCCTTTCTTGGTGTTTCCTAGCAAGGAGAAACACACTCATACACCTGCAGAGTGTAACTGAGGAGAGCATGCTGTAACAGTCTGTGCCCTGTGCCCTCTGTGCCCTGACCTCCTCAATGTTTGGGCTATCAGGACTGCCCACGACTCATCCTTGTATTTAGAAATAACCAAAACAAGGCAGCACTAAAGCTGTGCATGTCTACCATCACCCAGACTTTGTGTCTGGGCTTAAGGCAGGCCACTGGAGAAGAAACCAGTAAATAGGTTTGTGGTCCTTGTCTCTGAGTAGGTCTGAAATATCCAAAATTTGGTATGTTTTTGCAAAGGCATTCTGGTTTAGATAATGTTCTAATAATTCTCATTAGCAAAGAGAGCTGCAAGAAAAAAAAATATCCCAAGCTACCAAACTAGGGCAAGATATTGTAAATGCAATTCACCATGACCAGCTGTATGATTCCCACTAGTAGCTGCATCTTCATCATTCCAAGGGCACAGAATCTAAATTTATCAACACTGGGCAGAAACAGTGTACAGCTTTAGCCAAGTCACTGAGTAAAAAATATTGGCAATTACAGAAGAGCACAACCCATTCTAGAAGCTTGAGTTATGTAAATATATCCATTTGTAAGAAAGCATGGAATTTTAACTAAAGATTATATATATGTTGGGGAGATATGACTTTAAATTAGCTCTGTGTAATCCAATTCTTCTTTCCTATGAATAGGATGCCAAAGAAGGATTAACTACAGAGAGTGGATCCAAGATTTCATTCCTAATATTGGTAGACATAGGGATGATAAAAGCTGATACCACCATGGGCCAGCATTAGCACTTGCTGAGCTCTAATACAGTCCCTGGATGAAAGCATCTTTTATCTTTCAGTCCTAGTGAGAAACAGTATGAAAGCATAAATCACAGAGGGGGTATTCAGAATATCTCCATATGGTCTTAGACATAAGAAAAATACATGGGGCAAAGTGATTTTTCTAAAGTTAGGAATGTTCTTTTAGAACCCTCCCCCTCGGATTACCAGAGCATTATTTCAGACAAAACCAGTGCAATCAGTATGAATATGTTATCATTTCAGAATATGCAATATTCTTTTTTCTTTTTGCCATCAGCAGACACTGTTGCACTGACTTGCTCTTTGCTTTGCCAGTGAGTCGCTGCATCATCATGTGCATTCCTGCTGCTGGGGCACAATTGTAAATACTGCACCTAATGTTGACATGGATGTCCTGCACTGGTGTACTGGAGATATCCTCCACTGGGCAACCTTCATCATATTCTGAAATGATAGGAATATTTGCAGTCTGTGTAATGGTAGTGTCTCAGAATCTCTCTCACATATACATTTTTAGATACACAACTTTGAGAATGAACCAGTTATTCTCACACACTGCATGATTTCAAATTCCCTCTGCATCTCTACTAAACTAAAATGTGCATTCTGATAGGAATTCAACCGAAGTCTGAGATCTCCTAACTCCTCCAAATAAATTAATTAAGAAATTTTTCTGTTGGAAAAGTGTGCTTCATTTCCACTTTTAATTCCTCAGGCTGCTCACCTTTTGCCCTTGTTCAGCATGATGGTACAGAGGTAAAAGGAGAAGTATTACTCTTAAAGATAGCATCAGCATTGCCAGTCAGAGTGCAGGAGGAAATTGTAGCTGAAGATGAATTTTTAAGTATGAGTCATTATTAGTCAGACCATGAAATTTAGGTTGCTTTACTTATTTTATTCGTCCAGTTCTCAGGTAAACTCAAGGATACAATTTAAACAATTTTTCAGTTTGCTTTTAACACTTGAACACAATTCCTCTCCTGTAAAATGATAACAAGTGTTCCTGAGTTCTTCATGTAAATAGTGTAAAAAATAACAGCATTTAATTCCCTATTTTTAAGCAAACTGGAAAATGACTGCACATATTTCTTTTCCCTGGGATATGTGACAGTTTTGAAACTGGTTTTTTTTTTTTTTTTTTCCCAAGATATTAAAGAACTTTTCCATATAATGATTTAAAGATAAAGAATTTATAACATGGTGTCAATTTTTAACTCTTTTTCATTTTGATAATCTAGGCAGCTTTTTAAAACTCAACTAGGTATGGAATTGAGACAGAACTTCAGAAATGTGATCAACTCACTCAACATAGCTTTGATATAGCTGGAAGACTTCTAAACTAATCCCTGGTCAAGGCTTTCATATACCCTGCTTGTCTGTACAGATAAAATTAATGAACAGTTCTAGCACAACTGGGATCAGAAGTAGCACCATTGTCTGCCCTACCAATATGACTCTCACTCTTTAGTGCAATATTTTTTCAATTGAATTTTGAACAGAGACCTCATCAGATTTATAAATCACGTTCCTGCAGGTGATGATGTGTGCTGATGTGACACATGTACTTGTGTCTGCAAACCCCTGAATTATAAAGTAAATGAGCACATTTGTATCTGAAAGTAAGGATTTTTTTGACTTTTACAGGGAGTGTCTGACTGCCGCCTTCTTCAGTGTTTGCTTTGCAAAGACATGCACAACATGACCTAAAGATTCAAGGAGGAAGTTAAATTAATAAAGTTTTTAAATGGTTTCTGATTTCTATTTCTCAAACAAAAAATCAAGTTGCTTGTACTTTGAACTTCCATCAATTGTCAATGTTTTAGTAAGAGTTTTCCAGGACAGTCAAAAAGGAAACCAGACCAGAACAATGGGTAACGTAAGCATTTATCTCCACTACCGTGCATGCTGATAAGGAAAAGCCAAGTAACTGTTCTCTGTCATCTTTTTAATTTTCTGTTTATTACCTCCTGAAGTAATTTGCTCCATTTAATACAGAAAATTAGATATTTTGATCTATAAATTTCCCCTTGTTCTCATCTTATTATGCCATCTGCTTATTCTTTCTCCTGTACAGAAGAAAGAAGCACATTTTTAATTGGCAACATTTTTCTTTTAGATATTTTATATCTTTCTGACCAATTTTTTTTTTTTACTTGGGTACCAATGGAAATTTCCTTACACAAAAGACAGTACAACTTCTTCCAAGAGAGAGCATCTCAAGTTCAACAGATATTTCATGAATTAACAGAGACAGAATCTGGACACTGGCTTGTTTTAACTGAGCCAGAATACAGTTGTCTTCATTTTTAATGAGTTTTGACATATAATAATAACAGCCCTAGGTGCCTTAACTTTTAGATCTACAGTGTCAGATATCATAAATGGATTTGGGTCTCAGAAAATGGATATGCAGCACAACCTGGACAGAGGTCTCTGCAATGCCACCCAGGCACTGGTTGTACTGAAATTCCACTACCAAAGCATAGGAAAACATATCTTCATATCCTGGAGGGGCCTTATCCTCTCAGGTGACCAGATTTTCTTGGCAGCCTCAAGCTTTATTTGAAATCCACCTGAGTGCCTGCTGTCTTTTGGCTTTAGTAGCCCAGAGGAAATCTAATATGCCCATCCTCAGCATCTGTGGGCCTGAAGCACAGTCTTGATGGGTGGGGCCAATTTTAGTCCTCTTGAAATAACCTTAAATTCATCATCTCAACTCTAAGATATTCAAAGTGCCTACCCTGCTCTTTAAAAACTATGTCAAAGAAACCAAAAATGCAGTTGTACGTCTAGATCCTTCTTTTTACTAAATGTATAGATGATGTTAATTTTGAAACCAGGATAATTGCTGTTGCAGTCTAAATTATTACTAAACTTCAAGAGATTTCACAGGAGTCTTGTGTCTGTGACCATACAGTCTGGACTTAAACATGGCATGACAAAGACCTGCTCA